GTCTTTTATAGTCTATCAGTAAACTGTGTAGTCTAAGTCCGACTTTTTTGTAGTCTATCAGTAAACTTGGTAGTCTATATCTGACTCTTATAGTAGGGCATGAACCTTCCTTTTTTGGTCATTTTTCCCACGATACAATAATTGTAGCCCTTTCTTTTAGCTTTCTAAATATACTGAAATCATGTTATTTGGTTTTGTTTTCATGGAGAAAAACACAAAAAACAAAAAAAAACACGACACTTTTGAAATTCCTTTACCTCATATCTCCACAACAAAAGCACTTCAGAACATAATTCAAACAGATTCGGGAAGCTACAGTGTAGGGCTACAATTTTCGTTTTTTGACCATTTTTGGTAATTGGTCATGTGACCATCATCCCAACATCCCCTTACATGGACCCTGATAGGTAAAGTCATTCTCCTCTTGGTTTTCTTCACTTTTTAGTCAAACCAGGTGATATTTCCCTTTTGGGATGTACCCTGAACTGGACCCTGAAGGCAGTGCCTGATGTTCAAATCGCAATGATATTGGCCAAGTAGCTAATGAAATTTCCAATGATATTGCCCAGGTTTCTAATGAAAATCACAATGATATTGGGCAAGTAGCTAATGAAAATCACAATGATATTGACCAAGTAGCTAATGAAATTTCCAATGATATCACCCAGGTTTCTAATGAAAATTGCAATGATATCGGCCAGATGAATAATGAAAATCGCAATGATATTGCCCAAGTAGCTAATGAAATTTCCAATGATATCGGCCAGATGAATAATGAAAATCGCAATGATATTGCCCAAGTAGCTAATGAAATTTCCAATGATATCGCCCAGGTTTCTAATGAAAATCGCAATGATATTGCCCAAGTAGCTAATGAAATTTCCAATGATATTGCCCAGGTATCCAATGAAAATCGCAATGATATCGGCCAGATAACGAATGAAAATCGCAATGATATTGCAAGTAGCTAATGAAATTTCCAATGATATTGCCCAGGTTTCTAATGAAAATTGCAATAATATCGGCCAGATGAATAATGAAAATTGCAATGATATCGGCCAGATGAATAATGAAAATCACAATGATATTGGCCAAGTAGCTAATGAAATTTCCAATGATATTGCCCAGGTTTCTAATGAAAATCGCAATGATATTGCCCAAGTAGCTAATGAAATTTCCAATGATATTGCCCAGGTATCCAATGAAAATCGCAATGATATCGGCCAGATAACTAATGAAAATCGCAATGATATTGCAAGTAGCTAATGAAATTTCCAATGATATCGCCCAGGTTTCTAATGAAAATTGCAATGATATTGGCCAAGTAGCTAATGAAATTTCCAATGATATCGCCCAGGTTTTTAATGAAAATTGCAATGATCTCGGCCAGATGAATAATGAAAATCACAATGATATTGGTCAAGTAGCTAATGAAATTTCCAATGATATCGCCCAGGTATCTAATGAAATTTCCAATGATATCGCCCAGGTTTCTAATGAAAATCACAATGATATTGGCCAAGTAGCTAATGAAATTTCCAATGATATCGCCCAGGTATCTAATGAAATTTCCAATGATATCGCCCAGGTTTCTAATGAAAATTGCAATGATATTGGCCAAGTAGCTAATGAAATTTCCAATGATATCGCCCAGGTTTCTAATGAAAATTGCAATGATATCAGCCAGATAAATAATGAAAATCGCAATGATATTGACCAGGTAGCTAATGAAAATTGCAAATGATATTGGCCAGATAACTAATGAAAAGTGCAATGATATCAGCCAAGCAGCTAATGAAATTTCCAATGATATCGCCCAGGTATCTAATGAAAATTGCAATGATATCAGCTAGATAACTAATGAAAATTGCAAATGATATCGCCCATGTAGCTAATGAAATTTCCAATAATATCGCCCAGGTATCTAATGAAAATCACAATGATATCAGCCAGATAACTAATGAAAATCGCAATGATATTGGCCAAGCAGCTAATGAAAATTGCCTAATGAAAAGGCATGGTAACTGGAATGATTCCTATCATAAAGACTGTGGACTTATACACAGGGAGCCCTAGGCAGTTACCTTATTTTTATGATAAAGGTGGTACCCACTAGTGGCGAACGACGGTGATGGTGGCATGAAAGTTGTTAACTTGTCTTTTGTGCCATGCATGCAAGTTTGATCAAGACATTACGTAATGTATTTCTATTTGTTGTTTCTGAACGCGAACCTGGGATGGACCTTTCCCCTTTCCCCTTTCCCCTTTTCAATGACGAAGTCTTCGGGTTCGATAACGCAATGTCCTCGGGAATAGACACCTTCAAAGGGACGACAGCACATTCTCAACAGCACATTCTCAGTACAATGCGTCGGGCTTCAACACTTTAGGTATCACATGGGGTACTTGGGTCGACTGCACGGGGGTTGTGAATGGTGTTGGAAGGAAAAGGGCGTGTAGCACGGATTGCATAGCCATTGCTTGAGAATTAAAGAGATCCGAAGGACGGGCTGTAGGATGACGTATCTACGTACTATCAGAACGTATCGCGCTGCAATGCAAACGAGCTCACAGGAATGAGAGCAACTGGGGTGAAGCAAAGCGCAAACTGGGTCGGTGATTGCCAAGCAGGAACCATTTGCTCTGTAAGATTCACGAGTTGCGATTTGAAGCAGCATACTAGGACACAGCATGACTTGGTCGATTTAACCCTGTCCCAGGCGAACAGCAAAGCGCGAATTCGCTCAGTGCCACTCGATGCGATGTTGAAAGCGCGGGGGGAAACAAATCCAGAGTCAAGGGATTCTTGCAGGGAAGACTAGCAATGCTGGGGGTTGGGCAGCAGAATGCTTGACGTCAACAGAGGCACTGACCTGGTTCATCTAACAGACTGAACCGAGTTCCAGCTCAGGGGTGAAGCATGTCTGGCCAAGGTTGAATCGCAATATGATGAAAGTATCTTGACAATCACTCTAGAATGCTTGACGTCAATGGAGGCACAGATCTGGTTTATCCAACAAATTGAGTTCCAGCCCAAAGGCGAAGCATGTCCCTAGATCTTCTTATTATCTAGAAATCAAGGTTAAAGACTTGAAAAAGGGCGTAAAGAGATGACATGTTGGCGGAGCGCGGCAAGTATGGGTTCACAAAGGAGCAGCAGTTGAGTTCATCATCGAGCAGTCTCCTCCAATGCCTGGACAAATAGGTCTGTTTACACCTTCGGAAGGTATCATGAAAGTCGGTCGAAATGAGTTCATAAAGGAGCAGCGGTTGATCTGTTCACATTGCCTGATGTCAAGAGTTCATCTAGCAGGTTCAAACCCTTCCTACCCAAGGGCAAAGTTTGAATTCGCTCAATGTTCAAGGTATGTATATGCAAGGGTCATCAAGGTCCTTGCTGACGACTGGCATGTTCAAACCCTTCCTAGCCAAGGGCAAAGCGCGAATTCGCTCAGTGGCCAAGGTATGTACTTGCAAGGGTCATCAAGGTGCTCGCTAGACAACCAGTCTTTCATTTCCCCAATCTAGTAACGAATAACTAGCCAAAATGGGACAGAAAGGTTCCTCGCACAACGAGAAAGCCCAGTTGGCAGATACACTATCGGCCGCCCATCCCGCGATTCCTTGGGTTATCGGAGTAGAGTTTGCAGATGCAGCCTGCACACATGGCAGGAATTTGATCATCGAGCAGTCTTCTCTAACGCCTCAACAAATAAGTCCGTGAGCGCGTAGACAAATAGGTCCTTTCGCGCCTTCAGAAGGCATCATGGAACTCGGTCGGTACAGGTTGCGAAGTGTGGGTTCATAGAGGAGCAGAGGTTGATGTGTTCACGTTGCCTAATGTCACAGTTCGTCTGGCAGGTTCAAACCCTTCCTACCCAAGGGCAAAGCGCGAATTCGCTCAATGTCCAAGGTATGTACATGCAAGGGTCATCAAGGTGCTCGCTGAACGACTGGCAGGTTCAAACCCTTCCTACCCAAGCGCAAAGCGAATTCGCTCAGTGGCCAAGGTATGCGCTTGCAGGGTCATCAAGGTACTCGCTGGACAAGTTACAACCAGTCTTTCAATTCCCCAATGGTCCGTGTGCCTGGTAATGAATAACTAAGAAATGAGCCAAAGATCAGACACAAAGGTGAGATTAGTGACCTCTTGTAGCAGAGCCACTCCTTGAGGGTCCGCAGATAGGATGATGTAACCACATCGTCCATGCAAATGCGTGCGGCGGGGGTTCTTGCAGGGAACACTAGCGATCCTGAGAGTTGGGTCGCAGACTGCCTGACGTCAACGGAGGCACTGTCCTGGTTCATCTAACAGATTGAGTTACAGCCCAGGGGCGAAGCATGTCTCTAAACATGCTGGGAGAAAAGACAATCTTCTGATCACGAAGAATAGTTCAGGTGCATGATCCGTGGAAGACCGATGAGAACAGGTATGGATGCTGGTATCATGGAGGCCTTCCTACCCAAGACAAAGCGCGAATTCGCTCAGTGTCCAAGGTATCCAAGAAGGAAGACAGAGATGATGTGTTGGGAAAAGCGCGAATTCGCCCGGTGCCCAAGTTGCATGGACGCCGTCTGCCTACTTCCCTCCAGTTCATCAAACTTTCTTG